GACAGTAAGATGAATATTGGGTTGGCACATAAGTACTTTCGTTTTTTTTCAACCGGAAATTTCGTTCCAAAGATGAAATGTTTTGCTAGCAAGCTTGATATCATCTGATAGGAAACTTCACGTAGTTTTAGGATATCAGAACGGCTTCGGTTGAGGGAATAATTTTTGTAGATTTTTTAGCTAGCCTTTAGTGAAGCGCAAGTCGGCGCGAAAATTGTCTTCGACAACTGCCTCTATTTACGTATAGTCGAAGTGCTAAAATCGCTTAAGCTGCTCCATACATTTGGAAAAGGTCGAGCTAGAAGTTCCAGCAAGGGAATCTCACTAGGACGCTTTGGAACGAATTTCAAAAATTTTGAAGTTACACCAACTCACCTCCGCCCATAATTGGCAGCTCACGTCCTGTCTCCACTAAATTTTATCGCTAATATACTTGAAATGTTTCGCTAATATCGTTTCTAGCATGTTCTGATAGCAAAATTTCGTGCTCTATAAGACTGCTATAGAAGTCTGTTCTCCAGAGGTGTTTGCTTTCTGTTAAGTTCCAGGTTATCATTACGGAACGCGAAGTCGTTGAGAACTAGCGTTCCCGTTCTCCACGAATTTTATGCTAACATTGAATTGTTCGCTAATGCCGTCTGCTTTGTTTCTGATAGCCAATTTCGTGCTCTATAACACTGCGTTGCAGTTATTTTGAAAATCCGTTTGATGAACTTGTTTTTCAGGTGGATAATATGGAATGTCAGGTCGATAAGCATCAGCACTTCAGACATCTCCTCCTTTTCGCATTCAACAGAGGTATCAGAGCTGCTGATGCTGCTCGGGAAATTCGCTAAGAGCTGTCCTAACACTAATCTGTTACTCTGAGCCTTACTCAAACCATGGCGATTTTATTGAGCTGCTCTAGGAGCTTTGAAGCTTCAGTGGACAGCGGTTGAGAGAGGAAGTCGGGAACTCAATATTCTCATTCGTACATTCAGCAATCTCACGTTCCGTAAAGATAACCTGAACTTAACAGAAAGTAAACAGCTCCGGAGAACTGATTTTTATGTTATGTTATAGAGCACGAAATTGGCTATCAGAACATATAGAACACATTAGCGAAACATTCAAATGTTAGCATAAAATTCGTGGAGAACGGGAACCCTAGTTCTCAACGACTTCGCGTTCCGTAATGATAACCTGAACTTAACAGAAAACCCCAAAAACACCTCCTGGAGAACAGATTTCTATAGCAGTGTTATAGAGCACGAAATTTGCTATCAGAACATGCAAAACATATCAGCGAAACATTCAAATATTAGCATAAAATTTCAGGTGGAACAGACGTGAGCTGCCCAATATCGGCGAGGTGAAGGTTGGTAACTTCAAAATTCTTGAAATTCGTTCCAAAGCGTCCTAGTGAGATTCCCTTGCTGGAACTTCTAGCTCGACCTTTTCCAAATGTATGGAGCAGCTTAAGCATTTTAGCACTTCGACTATACGTAAATAGAGGCAGTTGTCGAAGGTGCTAATTTTTCGCCGACTTCGCTTTCAACTTCAACGACTAAAAAATCCACAAAAATTATTCCCTCAACCAAAGCCGTTTTGATATTCTAAAACTACGTGAAGTTTCCTATCAGATGATATCAAGCTTGCTAGCAAAACATTTCATCTTTGGAACGAAATTTCCGGTTGAAAAAAAACGAAAGTACTTATGTGCCAACCCAATAGATAACACTAAATTTTCTCTCAGACAACCTATGAATTACTGCAGAACAAACCATTGGGCCTCACTTCATGGTTTCCTTGGGAATATTAGAATAATTCGTCAACATACCATTTCCTGCGGACCGTAAATTTTAAATGCAATGTGGTAGAGCTAAAAAACTGCCTCCCGCCTCGATGACCTTAAACTTTGGAATGATCTCTGTGAGGTCCACAAAAGGGAAGCTGCCGAAAGAATACTATGAATGTCAATGGCTATCTGCTCCAATGCGGCATGCCAGGGCGAGCCACCGTATCAAAGCGGCCTTCGGTTCGTGCGGGTGCAGCCTCGTTTTCCTTGCAATAGGGGGAAAGCGACAAGCGGATTTGAGGACAACACGGTGGGGCTGACCCTCCTCTCCGTCTCCACAGACGCACTGAACAAAGCTATAATTAGCCCGTGGACGGTCGAAACCGTGCTTGTTCTGATATCACGAGTTTCTGAAAAGAGAGAGAGTGTGTGTGTGCGTGTGTGTGCTGAGGTTTGGCCAAAAATTACAGTACATCCGGACTTGAGAACATCTGGAAAAAAAGAGTACTGAGGTTTGGCTAAAAGTTAGAGCAGACCCAAACTTGAGTGAGGAACAACGACAACATTATCCATATCTGAACCATGAGGCTCGGTGGGTGAAAATCGGATGCAGGGAGTACACTCTTTTTCCCTGAGACGGAAAGAGGTGGCGTTTGAACATGGCATAGGATGGGTTGCTCGCGAGATATTTCAATTTGCGGCAACTGTCATCTTGTTGTGTGTTGCATAAGGACATGATCACAGCTGTCCAAAAGGAAAATATCTCACGAAAACCTTGGCTGCCACAGCCTTCGATTCAAGCATGCACTTCTAGCGCATCTCTGGGATTTCGAGTGTACACTAAAGGGACTTGCAGGTGCTCCTTTCGGCGTAGGATGCCTTGTCAGCAGAAGCCAACTATTCCAACATTACTATATTTTACTTTTCTTTATTTTATGTATCCTGCTTACAGAAAACTAGATCGGGCATATCAAATTGAATTCAAGCTTTTTTTAGAATTAATAGTATCTCGTTTAGGAAGCAAAAGTTGCTGCTTTTGTTCTCCTTAGGATCATTAATCGTCTTCACGTTGGCAATCGGATTTGTTCAGCCAATTACTCCGTACTGCGTAGTGCTCGTGCCAGGTGCAACTCAGTTCTGGTTCAACCAACGTACTTCAGCTGCATATTAATTAATTAAGGTTTAAACACTTCATGTCAAATGATGTTGGTGCCAGCCAGTAAGGTAATTCGTGGTGGAGCGTTGGGAATGCTAAAGGAAGCCGTCGTAGGACGAACCAGACGCGGAGCAGAAAACCGTTAGTGACAGGAAATTCTGAGCGCGGTTGGAGCTCAGGGCATCCACGTCGCGGCATCGCTAGCTACTTGGTTTCACGCACTGTAACATTGCCACTTTTCAATCGGCTTCTGGTTCAAATGACGCGCGCGTAGTCCCATTTAGTGCGCCTTTCTCGCCACCGTTGTCCCAACGTGGATGTGTCGAACTCTGCCCTCGCACAAACAATGCGATATTCTTGAATACCTACGAAACTTAGTAAATGTTTCAATAACTTTAGAAATCATTGAGAAAATCATCGATTTGAGTTCGTTCGACAACGAAGAGGATATCGTCGCGGGCATGGCACCTGAGTACATCACAAGTGAACAGGTGGGCCTTCAAACATTCACAGGAATCTTTCCATTGAATTCTTGCTTTACTTCATTCAATCGCGAATATTTATAACTTACTTCTTTTCTTCCCATCCCCAACTTCTAAGTTGCGGCTTGACGGGATCTAATTCGAATCTCTTCTCTCTAATCGCTTGTATCACAGCTGTTTCGTTTTACTGCAACTGCATGTCCTTTTTCTAACGTTTTTACCTGTTTCCGTTGAGTTGTATGTTCCTTTGCACATTTGCTCAGTTCTATGCAGTACTCAATGAATCTCCCTAGTAATGAGATTATTCGCAGAATAATCTTGTATGTAATTGGATACGTGCTCTCAGGGATGCATTTTAGCGCTGATCCGTTTCAGCATAATGTAATACCGCTACAGAGTGCTGAAATATTGGGTCAGAAAAAGTCCTGCAACACTCATCAGGACTGGAGATTCCTTCACTAAGGAGTACCCAAATCAACAGGAAAATCTCAGCATCTTAAACCGTGATTATCTGTTGGGCAGCTTTTATCTAAACTTCGGCGACTACAATGAGAGGGAGCGCTTGATCTAAATTTTAGACTGACGCCATATTTATGTTCAGAATGATGCATCAGTGCCATAAAAAGTGGCATTCGAAAGCTCTGCTAAGGTTGATGAGTGAGAAGGGAAAGGTCAGAAGCCCTGCGCAGAATCCATAACCTCTTCTTCATGCTATCTCCGCCATATGTCGTGGTTCAGAGGCAGTCGCCCTTCCTGACCCCTCCAACACGACGCATCGAGGTGGTTCAGAGCCCCGTGAGTCCCGAATCCAGGAACTCACGTCATCCTAAGGGTCCTCCTCGGGGACCGCACTGGTCTCTCCCCAGTGCAGCCTCCGCTCCCCGAGGGTCTACAGGGTTCCTATCCCGGGGTTGTGGGGGAGCTTGCGGTAGCACTGTGGTGGCCACAAGGACCAGACCAAGGGTTCCCTGGTCGCTGGACGCACAACCGATAAGGAGCAACATGAAACAACAGCCTACAGCGCCTTAGTCGGGCCCCCGCCCTGGCGCTCCCCAGTATCTACCCTAACACACAAACACGTATTATAAACACTCACATTTATTGCGGCGGAAAGCATTGACGTCAATCACCATCTTCTACTCTCATCCCTGCCGTTCTGGACGACCACTCCATCGATCCTTGATTGACATCGTTCGCGGTAAGAGCGGTAAGGCGGCACTCTGCCGGCTTGCGCGAGTGTAGCCCTCGCAGCGTCAGGTGCCACTCGGGCCTGCACTCCACGTGAGCCAGGCATTGACCTTCTCTACAGGCAGGAGAAGGGTATTCTCCTCCCCGCAGGGAAGGGTGCCAAGAGAGCAACGCTGCGCGGAGTCTCTCGCCGGCCGCTTTATATAGCAGCACGCAGCGGGACATCACGTGGCACACGCCTATTGGTTGGCGGTGCAGCGCATGATTTGGCCGTAGAGCGCGGCAGAGCCCAGGCGCCCGGTGCGCCCGGGGCCACAGTCGCGTACCGCGACACCATATGCTGACGTGAACTGAGAAAATATACGGCCTTTTTGGGGGAATTTCACATGTGGTGGTTCATCTTTTGAAGCTTATTCAAAAAGGCTGTGTCAGTCTTTAGTGCTGTACCGCTACCCAGCCGCTCCTTTTCAGCCCTAGCAGCACGACACCTTTTCACATGCTCACCTTCCACCGCGGACAGCTCTTCCTCTTGGGAGATCCAATCATGTCTAGGTGCATGGTTTGCTCAGAGCCTAGTTCGCTACCACACGCTGAGCTTGCAAAGTCAATAGTGCAGGGTGAAAAATTAATTGAATTGACTTTTTCCAGGACTGGCACTTCCCTAGAGATATTCATCGCAAAAATCTTCCCTGATAACTGAGCTCGATGGTGTGACGTCGGACGAATGCAGCGTAAGGTCATGCTCCTGGGGCATTAGTAAGGGTTTTTTGGGTGGGGGTTCTTCAAACTGTTGCACGACTTTCTTTACAAGCCAACACATATAGTTT